CCGTCGGGACAGGTACTACTATACTCTGGTAATCGAGGTGAAAACGCTCCCTGCCATCGTGGAGTTGGTCTCCTACTTAGCGTCCAGGCAAGTGCTGCGCTCATCAAGTGGGAGCCTGTTAATGAGAGGATAATCGTTGCCAGATTTTTTCTTCTTTCCTTTATTTAACGTCGGTCTCTGTTCCGCAATCTAGTGCCAATCACCGACGGACATCGTTTGCCATCCATTGACGGCAATCGAATGTGCAGAAAGGCAGCTTCCACACCTGCGTAGGATATCGCACCCATTCATCAACACACATGGGCCGGGACCAACGGCTTTACTTCCCTTCCGAAGGAAGACGTGACCAGAGATTTTTATGCCTCAGAAAAATCCCACCGACCTCGACTGGGATTGAACCCAGACCCATTGGGGTGAGAAAGCAGTCACGCTTACCACTACACCACCGGCGTCGGCCGTTGCCAGATTTAGAACACGGGTTCGTAACCTTACCATAATCCAATGTTATGCGCCAACCGATGCTGCCGAGCTACAGGACAAGGAGAATTTTTACAGTCAACTGAATGCCGTCGTGGATAAAGTTCCAAAGGGTGACATCAAGATCTACACTGGCGACTTCAATGCGAAGATCGGCTCCGACAACACGGACTATGAGCGTGTCATGGGACGCCATGGTCTCGGCGAAATGAGCGAGAACGGTGAGCTGTTTGCAGAATTTTGTGGCAATAACGACATGGTGATCGGGGGCTCGCTCTTCCCCCATCGGCCAGTGCACAAATTCACGTGGGTTTCCCGTGATGGACATACCGAGAATCAGATCGACCACATCTGCATCAGCCGAAAATGGAGACGAAGCCTTCTTGATGTCCGGAATAAACGCAGCGCCGACATCGCGTCTGACTATCACCTTCTAATCGGTGAAATCCGCCTACGTATGGCGCGGATCCAGCGACGGGAGGAGAGACTCGGGCGGCGATGCAACACACGCCGACTTGAAGATCCAGCGGTAAAAAGGTCTTTTGTTGAAGAACTTGAGACTCGAGCTGCGGACGTTCCAGAAGGTGGCAGCGTAGAAGAACAATGGACGGCCATCAAGAATGCCTTTATAGAAACAAGCGAGAACAACTTGGGTGAGCTGCGCACCCAGAGGAAAGAGTGGATCACAGATGAAACCTGGCGGAAGATTGAGGAGCGTAGAGAAGCAAAAACCGCGATAGAGGGGGCGAGAACCAGAGGAGCCAAGAACGAAGCCCGTCAACGGTACTCGGCTCTAGAGAAGGAAGTCAAGCGCTCTTGCAGACGGGACAAGCGAGCGTGGGTGAACTCCCCGGCCGAAGAAGGGGAGAAAGTCGCAAACACTGGCGATATACGCCTCCTCTACGATATCTCACGACGCCTGAGTGGAGCAAGGATGAACCCGAGGATGCCAGTGAAGGACACAACTGGACAATTGCTTGCCAACCCCACTGACCAGCTGAAACGCTGGTTTGAGCACTTCGAACAACTTCTTCAAGTTTCGACGGCCAACCAGCCATCAACATCTCGGCATGATCCGACTAGGGTGCGGCGCATCACTGCAGGAGATTGAAGCAGCTATCCGAAGCATGAAATCCAACAAGGCTCCAGGGGTCGATCGCATATCAGCAGAGATGCTCAAAGCTGACCCCATGCTATCCGCACAAATGTTGCATCAACTATTCTGTAATATCTGGGACACCGCGACTTTTCCGGCCGACTGGATGCAGGGCATCTTAGTGAAGGTCCCAAAGAAGGGGGATCTGACTGTGTGCGACAATTGGCGAGGCATCATGTTACTGTGTATTGTTCTCAAAGTTCTGTGCAAAGTTATCCTGAATCGGATACAGGGGAAGATCGACGCGACTCTCCGACGGCAGCAGGCAGGATTCCGTGCCGGAAGATCTTGTGTGGACCATATTGTCACGCTCCGCATCATCCTGGAGCAGATCAATGAATTCCAAGAGTCCCTTTATTTGGTATTCATTGACTACGCAAAAGCTTTCGACCGTCTCAATTACGAGAATCTGTGGGGCGCCCTGAGACGCAAGGGAGTCCCGGATAAAATCGTCAACCTCATCGAAGCGCAGTATGAGGCTTTCACGTGCAGAGTTCTGCATAACGGAGCCTTGTCCGACCCTATCCGGGTAGTCGCTGGTGTGAGACAAGGATGTATACTATCACCGCTACTGTTTCTCATCGTAATCGACGAGATCATTGGAGGTGCAATTGACCGTATACCGAACCGTGGGCTGCTTTGGCAGCCTATCACCATGGAGCATCTCAACGACTTCGATTTGGCTGATGATGTTGCTCTACTAGCACAACGGCGCTCTGATATGCAGAGTAAGCTCAATGACCTAGCCGAACGCTCCTCTGCGGCGGGTCTCACCATCAACGTCAACAAGACCAAATCGTTGGATATCAACACGGGCAACCCTTCCAACTTTACGGTAGCGGGGCAAGCAGTGGAGAAGGTCGAAAGTTTCCAATATCTTGGCAGCCAAATAGCGTCCGAAACGTATGGAGATCCAACCAGATAAGTCAACGCACCAAAATCCGAATTTTCAACTCGAACGTGAAATCTGTGTTGTTATACGCCAGCGAGACGTGGTGTGTATCAGCGGAGAACACTCAAAAGCTGCAGGTCTTCATCAACCGATGCCTGCGGTATATAATTCGTGCCTGGTGGCCTCACACCTGGATCTCGAATGCCGAGCTCCATCGTCGATGTCATCAGAAGCCGATAGCAACAGAAATTCGAGAGCGAAAGTGGAGGTGGGTCGGCCACACACTTCGACGGGGCGGAAAAGAAATCTGCAAGCAAGCACTGGATTGGAATCCAGCAGGACATCGCAGCAGAGGCAGACCCAGGGGCTCATGGCGGTGGAGCCTCAATAAGGAAATTAAGCAAGTCGATAGAAATCTGACCTGGGCCCAGGTCAAGGCAAAAGCGAGCAGCCGCCCAGGATGGAAGTCTTTCACGTTGGCCCTTTGCACCGCTGGTGGTGCACAGGACCCTTAAGTAGTCTCTGGTTTTACCCATTAGCTGAAGTTGTAACTGTGCAGGAGGATGATGCTTCCTAGAAAAAAAAAAACCAACTCAGTTTTCTCCCGAGAGAATTCAATACCTAGCTTCATAGCCCAAGTAGACAAATTGTCTAAGGTATCTTGCAATGGTCCTTGCAGGTCTGGTGCACTTGGCCCTATAATGGACATAACGCCGTCATCTGCGCAAGCTGCCTTAGCGAGCAATTTTCATCAAGACAACCATCAAAGTATTTGACATAAACATTATAAAAAAGGGGGCTTAAACATGACACCTGGGGGAGACTCATGTAACTAATTCGTGAAGTTGTCGAGTTTCCAGACTGCGAAACTGCGATTTTTTTGTTTGAAACATTTTAGGTTGTTGTTTTATTTTTTTCAAATTATGCTCTTTTTATTAAACCGATTCTCAAATCCAGTGGCCACTCTGCTGGAATGAAGGATTTCCCGATTACCGGGATTTGCAGGAATGACCCATCAACTGTTTCCCGATTCCCGCGTAGCCGAAGAAGGCCGGCAATTGTAAACACTGACGGCAATGAACCGGATCCGGGATGCTAATATCAGGAGACTCAGTGTTTGCATAAAAGTGTCAAAGAATATGGCATATGCCACATCTAATTACCACCAGCAGAATGATAATTGCCATTTGCCAATTCCATTCGATTTGATATTCAATACCTGTAGCGCAACTCGGCTTGGACTGGTGGGTGGCTATGGGACAACTGACTGACGAAGATTTGTGCGATCGATTGGTCAAACCTTTAGCTCCGTTCCGCGCTAACGGCTATCATTTGTGCATATTAATCGATTCATTATAGGAACGGCAGGTACGCTCGTTGTCAATCCCGCACATCTCCGTTAAATACACTTATTTCAAAACAACGGAATTTCGGATCAAGTGGTAAAAGGCGGTTCAATGTTTTTTTTTTCTCCAAATTTCGATCAATTTTATTCATCAACAAAAGAAGACAAAGAGTATAAGAGTCAGTTTGTCACTGGTTTTGAGTGTGTTTATTGCGTTAAAAAGTAAATCCGTTTTGCTTGTTGCGTTACATTGTTGAATGTGAAGGTGTGTGATGTTTGTTCTCCGTTGATTTAAAATAACGTATACATTTTTTGTTCGATTGTTTTTTTTAGTTTTTCCTAAAAAGTTAGAAGAAAATAGATTCGTCTTAACATAAACACGATTTTTGCGAGGAATGTTTTAAGAGAACCGAAGCTTTGTTCGACTTTTGGAATGTTGTTTAGTTTTGTGCGTTTTCTGATTTTTTTGGCTTACCCCCGAGATGTCGCCACCGGGAGCGGATGTGTTTTTGGGTGTTGATTTTTTTTAAACTGAATTTTTCGCTGGCGATCGCACCCGCACCTATAAGGCAGTGTCGTTCTACTTCATTTGGCGAGGACGGCATCGTTCGCGAAAGCGAAAAAACAACTCCGACTGGGGCGACATCTGGTGGCATTTTTTTTCTTTATCCAATGCATATTTTGCATTTGTTTTTCTCATTTTATCAATATATATATTCTGTTTTAAACGTTAGACATTAAACAGAGACACCTGCATGACTTTTTAGCTTTTATATAAAGATAATTTTTAAATGTAGATTTCCTACTAAGTTGGCCTTGATTTTCTCTTATTTTTGAATGAATTTTGACGGACCGAAAGGTGCTTGCTGTTTGTTTCTTTTTTTCTCCGATAGATGTCTCTACTTCCGTTGATTTTTGCACAGTCAGTCTGCTTACAATCTATACAAACTATTTATTTACTCGATTGATTGTATGCCCCGTTGTTTTGATGTTCGGTGTGATTTTGATGTTGCTATACAGATTTTGATTGACAGCTGTCGCTCACGTTCTGATTGCTGTGCTGTTGTTTTTGTTCTGTTGCATGTTTATCTTTACATTATGATGCATTGAAATTTAATATATTATATTAAATTTGGTGCATGCATAACAAGTGTCTACCTAATAAATAATTTATATTTTATAGTTTTTTGTTTTCGTTCACGGCGGCTTCGGTCAACGTTTCGGCGTACCAGAATCGGAAATCGACCATTGCCAGGGTTGTGATGCGAGGTTTTTTTTGTTGTAGTAATTTCAACTCGACAACGGTTCGGATTCGATCGAATCGGGACCGAGCGGCGCTGCCGATCGCCGGAACGAAAATATATGCGAGGTTTCGTTACTTAAAGGTACGATAAAAACTGTTTCTCATTTCTTGTTCATATTACATTATGTGTGTATTTGTGTAATTTTATCTTGTCTGTTGCATAGTCTTAGTTACTATAGAAAAAAATAAATGTCTTATCACTACAATCGCTATCGATTACTACAAAAGGAATGTTGTTCCACTCTAATTTTTTAGCGTTCCTAAAATCTGATCTCTACCATGATCTCTTTTATGCAATGCGCAAATTCACACACTTTTACACAGTAAATCACGATTAAAACTATTTTTTTTTCTGCTTGTTGTAGATTATCCTTTAGAAGAAAGCTAGTTTTTTTTCTTGAGATATATTCATATTACATTGATATCGATAAAATGTTGCTCTTTCTACTACGGTCTGTTTCTCTGGCAAGAGTTGCCAGATTTCCGATTTCTACCAGCTTCCCTTCTTCTTATTTTTTTAACTAACAAATACAAAACAAAAAAAGAATTCTTAAATTTCGAGATTACAGAACTGGTCAAGAGATTGCAGGGATTTAAATTCTCACTGGGATATTTCTGGGGGATTTTGAAGGTGGGAAATCCAAGGGCAAACGTTCGCTGGTACTTGTTGGTTTCTGTTCGCAGACGACGATCTTCGGGGTTCATCTCTTGGGAAACGAATGGCACTCACACACATCCCACACTGACTAGAACGAACGGAGGTTTGCCTCGAATGTACGGAGAAAGCTCGCTGATGGCTTGTTCCCGGACTTCCGGAAGCCCCGGTTCTACAGCTGGATTCGACTCAGATTTCAGTAATGCTAAGAGTGGGTAAGGTTATCGCAATAAGTAACCGACGATTCCACAAGGGGAAAACAGTGTGTAAAAAACGCCTAAATGAGTTCATTCTGCGGATGATCTCCGCAGAAATTCAGTGGAATGAATCCTCGGGACGCATTGGGATAACCTTACGAAAAAGGAGGAACTTTCAATCAAAACCCAGCGAATCCAGCTCCAGAAGAGCTTCCGCAGATGGGATCACCTTTCGGCAGGGGTTTCTAGTTCGCGATTCACGTTGATGACTTCCGTACGGAAACTCTGAGTAAGCCAGTTGATCTTCGGAGCAGCACACGGTGCTGAACGACCGGAGACCATCCTACGGCTTGAGACACTATCCATTGCAATTATCATTAAAAGGCAAGATCTTCTGCCTTAAGCGTACGGAAATCGTCAACGTCTCGGAACTAGGGCTAAGGAAATGGGTAGTAATTCACTGGGAAAGGAAACGCTGGTGGCATCGGATCTCACATTATCCCCGTCGGATCGAAGTACCGCTGCGGGGTGATCTGGGACTTTTTCCTCTTCTTACCGCGTAGAAACTCCGCTACCTCGAAGTTCTTGCACTCGTTGGCGATGGCCAGCGGCGTTCGGCTGTTCGAATCCTGCTGTTCCGTTTGCACCCGGCACCAATCAACCAGAAATTGAACGATCTGCAGGTTGTTGCTGTAGCATGCCTTGTGGAGTAGATTCTGCTGATTTCGGCCATCCCGTACGTTCGGATCGTACTGCAGCTGGAGGATCATAAACTCTAGCAGTCCGTAGTTGTCGGCAAACATGTGGATCGTTGGGATCTTCGACATCTGCTCGATCTCGGCAAGGTGAATCTTCAGTAGCTCAATGTTCGCCCCGGCCCCTATCAGTAGCTTCATGATGTCCAAATTTCTCGAATACATGGCCTGCACCAGCGGAGTTAATCCGGATGAGTTTCGCTCGTCTATGGCTGCGTACTTCAGGATCAACATCCGCGCAGCTATGATGTTACAGTGTTTGGCGGCCACGTGCAGTGGCGTATCTCCAAATTTCGTCACGGCGTTGATTTCCGACCCGCATTCGATCAGATAGGCAGCAATTTCGTTGCATCCGATCGCGATCGACACGTGAAGCGCTGTGCTATCGTAGGGATCCCTGTAGTTCAGACAGTGCTTGTTACTTTCCACCAAGTACTTCACCAGCTCAACGGACTGCGCGTACACTGCCTTAATCAAACATAGCGGCTCCGAACTCAAACCGTATCCGATCTTGTTCAACAGCTTCAGCATCCTAATGTTCCGTTTCTCCACAGCGATCGTCAGCGGAAGCTGCGGAATTAAGCTTTTCTGCTGCCCAAAATTGTACTTAACGAACAACTTCAGCATCTTAACGCTGTTCCTTTCCAAAGCCCACTCCACAGCGTTCAATCCACTCTGATCCGTCACCGTCACGGACGCCTTCTGCTGCAACAACATCTCCACAACATCGTACCGATCGCAACTCACTCCTACGTGCAACGCAGTCTTCAAGTAACAATTCTGCCGGTTCAAATTCTCCTGGACGTACTTCGTGTGACTTCCCCACAAGTACCTCATAATCTCCACCTGATCGTAAACCGCGCAGAGGTGAAGCAACGTGTTACCTTCCTGATCCAACCGCCCGCTCAATCCAACGTGCCGGATGTCCAGCAGGAACTTCAATGCATCCAAATTCCCATACTTCACCGCCCGTCGGACCAACCCAAATTGTTCCGATCCTACATCGGTCTCGTCGCTGATCAACATCGGAATGAGGTCATTCTCACCGTACTGCACCGCGTAGGTCAAGGGCAAACAATCCACCTCATTCACCGCCCCGATTTGGACGTTCTGCTTGATCAACAGCCTTACGATATCACTCATCCCCAGACTGCACGCCCGGTGCAGCGCCGTCGTACTATCCGCATTGCACTGATTTACATCCACGTTCAGCTTGATCAACTTCTTGATCGCCTGCACGTCTCCCTTCTGTATGCACTGATCGAGCACCGTGACTCCATTTTCGTCCTGGCAGCTCCACCCGATGTCCTTCATCTGCTTAGAGATCTTATCGATAAACTCATGATTGATGTACTTGGCAATTTTGGATAGGTTGATGCTCAGTTCAAACTTCTTCACGTTATCCAGGAAAATTTCATACGCTCGAAAGTACAGTGCCATGTACAGGATCGTGGCCTGCCGTTCATACTGCCCGGTCAGATTAACGTGGGCATCCACGAACATCGATCCAAAGCTTCGCACTAGCAAGTACTGGAAGAACTGCTGCTTCTCGAACGAAATCGCCTGGACGTCCTCCGCCAGGAAATCGATCATCGCCTTCAGGTTGTTTTTAATCGTATAGTCTACAATCTCGTACTCGGCAATTGGCGCCTCCTCCTGCAACGGTCCCAGTCTCATCCCCCGAATGTCCGCATAGTCCGGTGTCAATGCCTGCAGCAGTTTGAGATCGATGTTCTCCACCGATTTGAACAGTCGTTCCTGCTGTTCCACCCAGCTCCACTTCATCTTGTAGCTGTTGATGAGGTTCTCGTTGATCGTTGCCAAATCGCTAACGTTAACCTTCAGATTGTTCGGCGGTTGGTACAGCTTGAAGTCGTTGCTCTTGAAGATTAACCCATTCAGGAAGACCTTCACCTTGGTGCTGTGCGTCAACGTAAGCATATCGAACACCAATGGGTCATGCAGCAGATACTCCCGCAAGTTGCGTCCGCTGATGATGGATGATTGCAGCTTTAGTACGTAGGAGTTGTCCTGGAAAACGCTGAGATCCGTGAGGATCTCGCATATCTCGAGCAGGCAGAACTCCAAAGTGAACTCGACGTGTGGAGCGGCTTCGTTGATGAACTGGGTGACTTCGTTGAAGTCACTGCACGGTAGGAACTGACCGATCAGCTTCAGTTTGTTATCCAGATAGGACTGAAACTCTTCCCGATCCATCCGCTTATTGCGCTTGACGATGGCATCGTTGATTTGCCGGTTAGTCGTCTTCATGAACATCGTCAACACTGCGTACTTTTTGTCCAGGTTGAAGCAGTTGTCGTAGTAGTTGATCGCCAACTGTTCGTGTAGTACGGCAAACTCAATCGAGCTGAGGTTCTGAAGGTTGAATTTTTTCAGCATCTCGTTGGTGTAGTTCTGATGGATGAGGTTTTCGTATTCCTTCCCTCTGGGGGGTAGGAAATGATCTATCGCAAAGTATCGCTCGACATTCAACGTGCAGATCATGGTGATGAAGTTCTTTGCGACCCGTTCGTCCATCTGGTACTGGTAGAGATAGTTGGTGAATAGATGCAACATCTCCTGGAGGACAAAGTTAACGCTCACCAGGTGGCTGTCGGAGCTTATGTCGTATTTTGGGTAGTTTTCGGTCAGGAATGACCGCACGATCCGCTTGACCTTCGCCATATCCTGATTGGCCGTTCCCAACAGTAAACTGGTGTTGAAGTTCGAGCTGATGGTGGCAAGTTGGTCTCTCCCCTCCTTGAGCAGCGACTCGTACCGATTGGCTAGTGGCTTATGGACGCACCTTAGTAGATCACAGATCTTTTCGTCGTGCTGTTGGTTGAACGTGTCCTGCAGTTCCTCCACGACTCGTATACAATCTTCCAGCTCAAAGTACAGATCATCCAGGGTGTGATTCTCAAAGTACAGTCGATTCGCTTCACCGACGTACTGGTTGTAGGACTTGACCTGAACTCGGTCCTTCAGTTGGAAGACGTTTCCCAGGTAGCATTTGTACGCTTCCAGGATCTTCAGGTCGAAGATGTAGGAAAAGTATCGCCGAACGGATTTGAGACTGCATTGCACTTCGGCGAACGGCATAAGCCGGTTCTCCAGCTTGTCCGAGCACAGTTTGTACAGGGTGACGTTGGGAGCGTAGTAGTCCTTCAAGTCGACGTCCAGGTTTAGCGGTAGGATTTTGTTGACTACGTACTCCAGCTTACGCTGGATTCGGGGACTGTATTTTGTACTGTTGGTGACTTCTGATAGGATTTGAAGCGTTCGCTTGATCGCGAGAATTCCGGATACTTGATACTGCGGTAGCTGTACTCGGGAGATGCCGTCCAGATAGCGGAGAATCTTCTTGATGGCGTACAGCTGAGCTAGGTGATCGGAGGTTTTGCGGAGTCGCTTGAAAACTACGTAGTTTTTTCGCGATACAGTTCGTGTGAGGTTGAGAAACTCCTTGGTCTTCATTTCGATCCGGATCATTTCCAGCTCGTTTTTGGACAGGTTATTGATCAGCCGAGCCTGGATGGAGTTCAGTTCTGTGTTGGTTTTAATACGTGCTTTGATGTAGTAGATGAGTTTCTTCTTCAGTGGACATTTCTTCTTCCATAGCGAGTTGATCGCTTTGGTGGACTTGGCCGGTGCTGCGTCCCGAATGCAGTTGATGAGATGCAGAAATAGGTCGTTTGTCCACTTTTGTTGAAGACGGTTCTCCTTGTCCAGCAGATCCTTCTTGATTTTGTCTAGCTCGTCGCAGATCGCCGTTAGAAACACCAACAGCTGCTTCTTATTGATGATCAGCTTGTAGATTTCGTAGTCTGGTGTCTTCTTGAAGATGGCCAGGAAGATTGCTAGACACCGTTCGATTTCCAGCATCGGTAGATGGGCGAATTCGTGTTTGTCCTTGATGAAGAACAGATTGTCGTAGATAATTTTGATTGCGAGTAGGAACTTGTCGTCAAAGTCGTTGAGATTGTCGGTGGCGTAGTGATCGGTGAGGTACTTTGTGTACTCCACGATCAGGTCGATTCGGTTCTCGTGCTCCTTGTCGAACTTTAATCGGTCCGGTTTCTGATTCGGTGGATGATGATATGCATAGCTGTAGTTGAGCAGTTGATATTCCAGGAAATTTTCCATATTCTTCGAAATCTGAACGTTCTTCACGTACAGTTCGTGCCAAACGCTGGAAACGTAGTGGATCTGCTGGTGCACGTCGAAGCTCTTCAGCTCAAGGAACAGCTGCAGCAACGGTACCGATCCGCGTCGAATCAAGCGATAGAAACACCGGTAGTCGGAGAGGTTCCGGAACTCGATAGCCAGCATGAATTTGGTCACGTCGAGAAAGTTGAGATTGATTGCCAGTTCCGAAGCGGTTAGGTTCATCGAGTTCCGTAGATCGCAATCCGCACCGGACTCGATCAGGAACTGCATGATCTCGTTCCGATTCTGCTGAGCAATGATCGACAGATGCAGCGGGGTGTTGAGATCTTCCGGCGTCTGGTAGTCCAGGACAAAGTCCTTGAACTTGGACTTGATCTTGGCCAGGTCCCCCTCGACGACCAGTTTGCAAAATTCACCGGCATATTTGCTGACATAGTTTCCTTGGGACATTTTTGTGAAAGTGTGTGTTTGCTTAAAATCCTTAAATCTAACGTTCTCCTCTGTCGCTCTGCCTTCCTCTCGCCTAGTCTTCTTCCTTCTTTGTTTAGTGAACCGCGAGGTGTTGGAATGTGTGTTGCTTTAATCACAGATAGTGAAGAGAATAGCACTCAGTTCTCTTCGGCGTTTGTGTGTAGTTTGTGCGCGCCCCGCATTCAGCTACTCATGGCGGTGGCCCGATCGCGTGGCACTGCGAACATCACACGGAGGACGACCGATCGTGACTTCGGTTGTGGTTTTGGGGGTCGCCGCTTCATGACGAGGCCTCCGGTGCGCTGTTGTGACGGGTCGGGAAAGCCGCCGTCGTCATCCGGGGCAATCTAGGTGCCGATCGACCTCATGAGGGTAGCGAGCGTGTTCTCTTTTTCTCTTTCTCTGTTGGATGGGACACTCCCTTCGCGCGATCGAGGAGGTCTCCGTTAATTAATTTAATGCCTTCACCTCGACGCGCGGCAGATTAATCTCGCTGCCTCCTCCTCCTTCCTCTTTCGTGAAGTTGTTTTCTCCCGTAGATGGAATGTTTTGCTTTTTTCTTCTTCTTCTGTGTGATGAGGGATTGATGGGGCCGGGACGGGGGCCGGGTGATGACGAGTCGTAAAAATTGGTGGTGATCAGTCGCGGTGTGCCCTCGTTGATTGCGGGAGGGAGGTTATTTATCTGGAAGGAAAGAAACGGAGAGAAAACAGGCGGAGAATAAGTAATCGTGTGCTAACTGTGAGTAAATTAGCGAAATGGAACGGACTGATGTTGAAAGGAGGGGTGGATTTGAATATCTATGAACATCGTGAGACGGATCTGTTGTTAGATCAATCTGAGCAGTTGATTGTCGCTGTTTATAAATAAACTGTAACACTAGGGATATGTATAAGTTTCTTAGGAGGAATAAATTGTTTGTGCCAAAATCATTAGTTTAAGCCGGGAATTTGTATTTCATTTATTTTAGCCAAGTAAATTGAAATAAATTGTTCTAAATTGAAATAAATGGTTGTGTCACCCAGGAAACCAAGAAGCATGGAAAACAGCACGTTATCAGCAGCAAATGCGACCAAAATACCACTTTTGGCAAAATATACGGCTGCTTTACTGCTAGAGCCCACAAGCTGACAGCGCTACTATCAGAAATTTGGCAACCATTAGTAGAAACTTGCCTAGTCCAGTGCCGTTTTTATCATCAAAAGTCGAAGCCGAAAACGATCAGAGCTATCGAAAACGAAAATCTAGGCAAAAATGATGAAACAGAAAGCTGCAGTAAACATAAACAACAACGGTGAAACGTCATTGAGTGTATGCGTGAAAGCTACACGCTACACTGTTATTTTTTTTTTACTTTGTAGCTGAGTGGTGCGAAGTGAAATTTTCTTCATGTTGGTAGTGTTGAAATAAACGTTTCATCACCGTCGGTTGGTAGAGAGAAGTGTCAAACGGCTTTTTGTGCAGAGCCGATTCGTGACTTTGTGATTGTTTGTTGACATTGTTCATAGCTGGAGTTTTTACGGAGTGGAATAAAATTCAGAATGAAGTGTTTTGCTCACTTTTGCAATTATAAAGATGGACACGACGAAAAGCGAAGCCTATTCAGGTTTCCCAAGGATTCAGCAGTACGAAAAGAGTGGCTCAGTTTCTGTGAGGTGGATCTCAATTTTCAAATCAAACCCAGTGACCGGTTGTGCAGTATTCATTTTGATAAAAATTGTGTAAAGCATCTGAATTCAGTTGCTTATCGTGATAAAAATGCAATCCCTACACTGCGAACATATGATGATGGTCCATTTATCAGTGAAACAATTGACGAAAGTGATAAAGTTGTTAACGATGAAGATTGGCGATCGCCGGAACTGGAAAATATTGCAAAGCAAAGGTGAGACATTTTTTAAATTGAATTTGAAATCAACAAACAAAATATGGTAGAGAGCCTCTGCGGCCTAATCCCCCATTGAGTCGTTTCGAATCACGAATTTTACAAAGATCAAAAACATTACTGAAAAATATTTATTTTTTATTTTGAACGATAACAATACTTCTATCTATTTCAACGAACCACAATGATAAAAAAAGTGGTTCGATTTGACAGCTCGAAAGTGGTTCAATTTTGAGGTCCGTCTTCGCACCACTCAGCTTTGTAGCTTTTCGCTTGACAGGTAATATCATTAATATTTATACTGAAAACTATAATAACTACCAATATGGGCAATTTTTACACCAAATATTACTTCAGATCAAGTTGTACTTCCCCTAGGTCCAAGCGCAACGAAAACAGAAGCGGTAAGCTGAGTAAGCCTACTTGTCGGATTGAAAACTAGTTGGAACCAAATCAACTTCGGTTAGGCATCTTGATATCATTTGTGACAACTGTCAAACTTGCCATTTCCGTACCGCTTCCGTCCACATTGCGTTTGGGCCTTTAGTTGTTTCCTGGGCAGTTTATGTCCAATAACAGAAAAGGTTGATATTGAGTACTCAGCAAGGTGAGTAAATTGGGATATCGAGACAGCGAGGTGAGTAAACTGGGAAAACGCCGGGAATTGCCGTTTTATGCCTTGTTCAGACTACAGAGTTATAACATGTTATAGCACTATCTTGATAGTGGTTTCTGTATTGTAATTATTTGACAACCGTTATAACTCTGTAGTCTAAACGTACTATTATCATGGTTTTGAAGCATTTCACAAGTCTAAGTCTTGTTTGCAATTCCAACAACCTTAGTGGAATCCGCAATTGCGTAATCTGCGTAACCGTCTGCGTAAAGCTCGAAAACGTTACTTTAGTTCCCGGACCGCAGCAAACAATTATACGGTGCAGCTAATAGAAGCAGAGTATAATAGTTTGCATGAAGCTCGCTTTCGTGAGTACGTCGACAACCTCCAGAGGGATTTCAAGGAAAATCCATCGTCGTTCTTGTCTTTTATCAACTCTCGGAAAAGATCAGCTGGTATTCCCGTGGACGTCCCCTACGGTAGTAGAAGCTCCACCACCGACACCGCTTCTGCTGACCTTTTCGCAGACTTTTCCGAAGTGTTTTCGAACCCGATCAAACTCCTCCACCGCAGCAATACATTGATCAGCTACCAAGATACGACATTCACCTGCAGCAGCTCATCTTCAGTCAATACGCTATTCTCAAAGCCCTTTGCTCAGTCGATCCATCGAAAGGTCCAGGCCCGGACCGTATTCCACCGTCTTTCGTCAAGAACTGTGCAGAATCGTTGGCCACTCCCGTTATATCTATTTTCAATCGATCGCTTAAGGATGGCGTTTTTCCGGATGCCTGGAAGCTCGCCTCAATTACAGCAATCTTCAAGTCCGGTAACATGCACAAAGTGGAAAATTACCGACCTATCTCGATCCTGAACTGCTTGGCCAAAGTTCTCGAAAGTCTTCTGCATGAGAAGTTGTATCCAGCTGTTCAACCCATAATCTCAGAGTTTCAGCATGGATTCATGAAAAAGCGCTCGACAGTCTCTAACTTGATGACTTACACGAACACTCTTATAGGTAGCATCGAGAAGCGTCAGCAAGTGGACTCCGTTTACAATGACATCTCTAAGGCTTTTGACAAAGTCCCTCACGAACTAGCCATTATGAAGCTAAACCGCCTTGGTCTTCCACCGTGGATCGTTTGTTGGTTGAAATCATACTTATCATCCAGGAAGGCTTTCGTTAAGGTACGTGATTCCAGATCCGAGGTATTCGATATACCATCGGGGGTTCCACAAGGGAGTCACCTAGGACCTCTCATTTTCGTTCTGTTTATTAACGACGTGTGTGATATGCTAAGTTCCTGTAAGTTACTATATGCGGATGATCTTAAGCTGTACCGTGCGATCAAATCGATCGTGGATTGTTGCGCACTACAAGCTGATATAGAGCGATTGTCATCCTGGTGTCAGATGAATGGAATGCAAGTCAATGCTGCCAAATGCAAAGTGATTACCCTTACCCGCTCGCACTCTCCGATCATTTTTGATTACTCTATGAATCAATCGCCGCTGGAAAGGGTTAATGCCATTAAGGATCTTGCGCTCATTTTGGACAGCAAACTATGGTTTAACGAGCACATATCCATGACAGTTGCAAAGGTCAACTCCATGCTAGGATTTTTGCGCCGCAATACTGCACAATTCGACGACGTGTACGTCCTGAAAGCGCTGTACAGCTCTATGGTCCGCAGTGTTCTTGAATATGGAGTGCAAATTTCCGCTACATATCATGCTGATCATGTACTGCGCATCGAGAGAATCCAGAAACAGTCTATAAAGTTTGCATTACGACGTCTGCCGTGGACACATCCAGATAGCTTACCTCCTTACGAACATAGATGTGCGCTTATTGGACTGCAAACACTAACAAATCGCCGAGTCTTTCTCCAGAGGATGTTCATATTTGACATGATTAGTAATCATATTGACTGCAGTTGTTTGCTCGGGAACATCAATTTCCACACTCCAGCTCGCCGTCTACGCAACTATTACTTTCTGTGGACTCTCGAACATCGTACTGCTTACGGTTATAACAATCCTCTCGATAGAAGTTGCAGACTGTTTAATGATGTGTGTGATGTTTTTGATTTTAATATAAGTAGACCAGTTTTTAAGAATAGGATTAAGTCACTTTAAACAGTCTGTATGGCTAAAATGCCAAAGATGGTGGTTAAATAAATAAATCATGGTCTATAGAACCCTCATAAAACCTTATTTGTTACTTGGGTAAAATAAGTCAAGACCGTTAGTCCTTGTTTTATATACAGAGAGGTACCTACCGTTGTTTGCGGATGAAGTTTTAGGCGGCATTCTCTTTTCCCTATTCCTAGCTACCTGATCTTTGGTAGTAACAATACTAACCACAAATGGTTTTATCACCAAAAATCAGGAATCAAGGAATCCAGATAAAAATAATACCTGCAAAAACTCCATCCACTAAGAACGGTACCTCTTTGTGTTCATAAATGTGACTAAGATTTTCAGAATACAATCACTTTGAAGAACTATTAAGAGATTTTTAATGAAAATTCCAAAGGGATGTTGATGAAACTTTAGAATTACTTCTAGGGATGACACCAAGGTATTTCAGTGAAACATTCCAAGGGAGCTATGGGAAGAACTCCATGAGAGTTTTGGCTACTGTATTACTTGACTTATGTGTGCTATATCCGCGGGATCGTATATGCATCGTTTAATTTACGTACATTATACTATGCTAAATTAGACGAGGTACACGATTCCGAAGATACAATTGTGGAAAGAGTTTCAAGGTAACTGTGAGAAAAACTCCAGGTAAATTTAACCCTTTCAGTCTCAATTTCTTCTAAAGCATATTTTAAGCAGACATGCTGAAACTCCTCAAACTCACTGGAGGTTTTAAAACACTCTCTCTCAAGTGAGTGGCCGAAGAAGTAAACAAAAACTCCTCGAGAGAGAGGGAGAGTGAACTTCAGCGAGAGGACGATTTGACGTGAGGTGCGCTTTTCGAGACTCCGGATGACTTTTTTTTTCGACGCAAGAAGCTCAGAGTTCACACAGAGTGAGAGTAAGAGCGTGTGATAGAAAACATGAACATGAATGGCTGCAAACCTCACTCTCATTTTATCCCCTTTCGCTCACAAGCTCTGAAGCTCAGTGGAATGATTTGGTAGTAGGAATTCTACTCCTCAGAAAAATGCT